CCAAGACCCCTGTGTATGCCCCTGCCTCGGACCCCTGCCACTGTCACTGCCACGCCCCTTTCTTGCTGCAACAGAGTGCTGTCCTCGGGTTTTCGCTTTTGTTGCGGCTTTATCAGATGTTGACATTTTTGCGGAACCACACTCGAGCTCATTTGCAATAATTGGTTTTTCTTGTTGTCTTCGCCTGGGACTACTGTCCAAGAACAGCAGGAGGGGGTGGAGTAAAGGGGAGTGGCAGGAAGAGGAAGGCGGCAGGGCATAGAGCCTTGTACTAAATAGAAAAATTCCAGACATACTCATAGTTTCACACCCAAAATTGCAAGTCCATTAAATAATGGTTTCAAGAAGCTTTAAAAAATATTAATAAGAGTTTATTAGTTTGAGAATTAAAGACTTTATAAAAGGTCTATAATTTTAAATAAATATTTTTTTTGAAATTTATTATTTCAAGTGCAAAGTCTCGAGGTTTATGGGTTGATGTCTAGCAAGGCTCTTTCATTGTTTTTGACATGAAAAGTCCACCAGGGCGACGTCCAACAACTACGCACTTTTTCAATTTTCCATTACATTTTCCCTTTGTGCTTTAAAAAAAAACTAAGAACAACAACTTAAATAAATAAATAAAAAAAAAAACAAAATAAACTGAAAAAAAGCGCCGCTAAATGCAAACAATAACAATAGCTTCAAGTTGCCAATAGATTGGCCTGCCAATCAATCAATATCCATTGCAGAGTCAGCTTTTAGCTTTTTTCTCCAACGTTCACACACTCAATCAGCCAGTCAGGCAGTCAATCGGTCAATCAATCAATCAATTAGACGACTTCTTGGCCCATATCCGCGGCAAATATATCAAACAGCACCTGTCAAGGGGATATCTAAGAGAACAAGTCAATCAATAGATGTATCTGATGGATACTACATAGATTGATTGAGAGTGATGGCAGGAAGAAGATCTAAAATTTAGAACTAGAGATACAAGAGAGAGAAGTATAAGAATTTTAAGGTTCTATGATATATAGATCCTCTATAAACCTAAATATTATAATCTCTGCTCATTAAAACCTAAAGAAAAAACATAATATACCTCTTACTACATTACATTATCATAATCTCTTATTATTTCCCATTAATTCCTTTAAATAATCTCTATTTCTCAAGTTAATGTGGCAAATCGTTTATAGACTGGCAGATTCAGAGGCAAATGAACCACATCATTCCATTCCATTCCAGAAGAAAACAACTTCATCGTCTTGTGGCAAAAAGTAAAAAAGACTGACGTTGAAGACCCCCAGTGAAGGCAACAAAATAAGACAAGAAGCTGTCTTTATACGTCTTTCATTCAGAATAGATCGGAATTTAGCTGCAAAGTCAGAAGAAAGGAAGACACAAGGCAGATGGAGTATCTGCATCGTCTGGGGTGGGCTTTTTAAATTAAATTTTACAATTCAGTGATGTGAATATATTGTCTAATTGCCAGGATTTGAGATCAGGAAGTATATATATTTTCTTGCTATCTTTGGTCCCCACCACATCCCCACTTATCCACCCGGATCCGCTCCGGATGAGCACAATTTCCGCTAGAGAAGGAATTGCCAACTGTCGCCGATAAATTTTCGCGGCGAGTGTCCATAAAAATTGTATATGCCGAGTACGGCGACAAAAATAGTTTTAACTGCCCCACCAAAAAAAATTAAAGCCATGGAGTACCCACCCAGTATTCCCCTCCAGATCGTCCAGATCTCTCCAAATCCAAATCCATTTCATCTTCTTCCAGAATGGAACTGCCAAATGGCAAAGTGAATTAGCCGGGAATTGGCAGAGATCGCATTTAATGGCAGCCATAAGTTCATTTTGGGGCTAATGTTTTGGCACTGTCGCCGGGATTTTCCAGGAAAAAAACGGAAATGGAGTAATAATTTTTATGATTTAATTATCGGGGATTATTTTTAGTTGGATTTTCAAAGGGAAGTTTAGGTATTAGAGGGCATAGACATCGTTTGAAGGTTTTAAACTTCAAAGTTTAGTATTTTTTTTTTGAAAATATTAAAATAAAAAAAGGTTTTTAAAATATTTACAATCTTAATTTTATTCAAACATGTTTTTGAAAAAATCCCAAAACCTTGTTGTATCACATGATCTTTTAAAAAAGATACGTAAATCAGTTCCGATTTAACATAGAAACATATAACCCATATGTTCCCACCATATCTATGCTTACCATCTACATATATCTGGTGTATATATAGTATTTCATAAATCCATACGCACTCCATCACATTATTTGGCTACTTTATGGGCTCTTTTCGATTTCATTTAGCACTCGGCTCGACTAGTTTTTTGTTCAATATTTTATTTTTTTTTTAAGAACTTAAGGGGGGGGTGGCACTTCCAGAACATCTCGTGTTCGCTGCTCGTGTGTGTTTTCCTCACTTTTTTTTCGCTTAATTCTGATTACATTTATTTATGAAACCGGGCGTACATATAATTTCCGTTCGCCGGCCCCAACTGCTCCAATGAATTATGTCAAGAGAAGAAAACAACAAAAAACACTAGCCAGGGAAGAAAAAATATATTTAAAAAAAAACAACAGAACGGAAAAACTAATAGTGCTGTTGCTTTGCCAGTGGAATCAACAAAAAAAAGGAAAAGCGCACAAGTAAAAATAGCAAATGAAAAGCGCATCCAAAAAAAAAAAATAAAGGTATAGGAATAAAAAAGTATACACGGTGAGAAATGTGAAAACTTCAAAGCGAATGCAAATCAAAGTGAAAATAAAGGAGAAGGAGGTGCATCAGGAGGTGGGGGTTTAAGGTGAGATTTACACAGAAAAAAATAAACATAAATTAGTAAAGGCTTTTGAACTTAATTGGGGTGCTAATGGGGAATCTTTAACACTATTTCTATAATACTTCATAGTTCATTTACAGTCCTTGCCAATACTCTAAAGAGAGCTGCCGCATAATGTACGGCTAGTATAATAATTTTAATAATAGAAGTGTTTTTTAGAGAATTATAAACGCAGACTTAATTGGGAAAATATTAAGTAATATTTCATTTTAAATAAATATACGATAGTAATCGTTATTTTTTAATTATTAATTCTATTAATATTATTTTTTAATATTAATATTAATAATAGCCTCCCCATCATATTCCCAAATTTATTACACTCTACTTTTACCCCTATTTCTCTCAGTGCCTTCAAAGGTGCAACTGAACCAAATTGGCACACCTTCTCCGAGTCCAAAGACGAAGAAACTTGGCCGAAACCAAAGAAAACAAATTAAATGAAAATAAATTATAGAGAATGAGTTCTTTTTCTTTTTTTTTATATATATTTCTGCGTGTGTGTTTGTTTGTTGGACAAATGAAGCGAAACGTTACGTTTTGATTTTTTTGTGTTAGTTTTTTAGTTTTTGTTGTTGGGGCTTTTTGGTGTTGTTGTTGTGCTTTTTGCCTAATTATTGTTGGTGCTTTTCATAGTCGGGCGGGCGCATTAAGAAAAACTTTATGCGCCATTGAAGCGTTCGAAAATAAAAGTCGCGTCCGCTTGCGTCAAACGCTGCCGGCCACGTGTGTTTTCTATTCATGTGTGAGTGCCTGTTTTTTTCGAGTGTATCCGTGTGTGTGTTAGATGTGTTTTTTGAGGGAAAATTCACTCGTTACGCACACAACACGGCGTAATTGTAGCAGATCGCGTATACGCCGCATGGTCTCCTAAAAACCAAAAAGTGTTGCCACATAAAAGACCTAAAAAAAGGGGGGTCTGGGGAGGTGCCAGAAAGCCACCTCAGCATACATTGTAATGGCAACAGTGATCTCACATTTGTTGCCACTTTTGGTTAAAAAAAAAATGCCTCGTACCTCGTTTTTTGTTGTTTATTGTTTGGTTTATTTTTATTTTAAACAAAACTAATTCAAAGCTTTGATTGATTTGTTTAATTTTTTGTTTATTTACTTAATTGGCTTTGTAATGGAACCACTAAGAGTTTATTTATTTGGTTTGGGGACTGGGGAAATAAACAATCTGGTAACTGCATATAAAAGGTAGACATTTAAGAGCTTTTGAAAGGTGGTTTTCTGAAGGTATTTGTTTAGTTTGTATAATTTATATAATAAAATATTAAGATATTTATATTTAAACCGACAATTAATTCAAAAAAAAGTAATCTCTTTAGAAGACACCGTAGTATTTTTTAGAAACCAAATAGTTTAGATTTTTGTTGAAAAAAAGGGGCTTACAGCTTCAAAGTTTGTTATAAGATAGCCTCTAGTTTATTTCTAACATAAAAAATACCAAAATAAAATCTGTTCAATATAAATAAACTACTAAAGCCTACCTCTACATATTTTTCATATTTTTATTTTATTAGAAAAAAGTTCTTAAGCTCTCAATGTAATCTCCGACAGTTTCCTTATCCCAAAACTAAATAATAATCTTTTTTGAGCTATTTTTTGCTTCTTAAATTTCAAATGTCTGGACAGCAAAACTTATACCATCAAGCTCAAGTTGATTAAGTTATTAGATTGGCATTACGAATTTCTAGATTTTTTTGCCATTTTCTAAAGACTTCTTTAACCAAAAAATCAAACAATTCAATTTGGATTTCCCAATTTTCCAAAGTGGATTCTGTTTTATGTTTCGATTCAGTTCTTTTCGTGTGTTTGATTGCCATATGTTTAAGATTAATTGAGTTCACATATATATATCTTTGTTGGGCTGTCGTGTTTTTGTGGTTTTCTTGATTTTTTTTTATAATTCCCTGAGTTTTGAGATTCATTCGTTTTGTGTGGAATTTTAATTGAAGCTTTTTTGGCGACGCTGAAGGTCGCGATTTATATTGGAATCGGTATTTCTCAGAATCGAATGTGCAATGAATGACTTCTTTGATCCCCAATCTCTCATCTCCGACTCTATTTTATGGATAAAGAAATGCTTCTTAAGATTGTGCCACCTTTGATCTTTGATGTTTATAAGTTTTCTTTGCTATTTCTTACAGTTGACCGTGCCATGAGTCCGGCCCAGTCGGAGGACTCGGGACTGGCCCCGGAAAGGGGTACCACCTATGCCACCATCACACTGCCACGGAATGCCCTACATTTGGCCATTACTTTTGCAGGTAAGTCTTTTAAATATTTATATTTAGAAGAAAAGCCCCTCTAATGCATTTCAAGTGGAGAATTACAAAAAAAAGGGGTTTGTAAATCGATATCCACGACAGGGAAACATCATTCATGAGCTCTAGTTTCTTTTTTTTGGGGAGGGATTTCCCTGACAGCTGTCACTGAAAATCAGCTCTGATTGCTTCGTAATTATGTTGAATACAAATTGGGATAAACCCTCACCGGATCAGCGCATCAATCCATCAATCAAATCAATTGATTGAGCCATTTATGCGGGTTGCCAATTATAATAATAATAATAATGATAATATTACAGAACTAAAGGGGTTGAAATCAGGGTTAAGGTTGCTCTTTTTAGACTTTATAGATTAATATTAATTAATGGTAGTTCTCTTCTATAGTTCTATAGTTTGGATATAGACTCTGATCTACCATATATGTATGTATATCTGGCGGTTGTACTAATTTCTAGAGCTCAGCATTGATTTATTGGATTGTCGATGGGGTCGGGTCCATGATGGGCTGCCCTCTGTATCTTCTAGGGTTGGGGCATGACAGCCATTTCGGTTACAGGGTGGTTTTATTCAAAAAATTATATAGAGGGGGGGTATAGACCTATAGCTATAGCTATAGCTTTGCTTTAATGTCTTATGCCTAACTATATATTCAGTCGATCGCCAGACAAAGTGGGCCGCCCTCGAATCATTCGATTTGAATGCGGAACGCGTTTCCGTAGCTGTATCTTCTAGATGTATTTGTATTTTTATTTTGTATCTGTATCTGTATCTCTGTCTGTGTCTTCGTCTCTATCTCTGTCTGAGTTTTGCGTTTGCCGCTGTTGTCGCTGCCAAAATAAATCATCGTTTGAATCCATAGAGTGACGGGGTATATAGGGAGGTCCACCCCCCAGAGGGGTGCAGGGGACAGGGGACAGCGCCAGGGGGAGTGCTGGTACTGCCAAATCCGGGGATGGGGGCGGAGGCCGACGCCAGACATAATAATGAGAATATACGAAATGCAAGGCACACCGTTACCACACCAGAGGTTATTATTTTAATAATTTAAAAAAAAATATAAGGATATAAATTATTAAAAATATAAAAGTAAAATAAAGTTAAAAATGAAATGAACAGATCCCAGAACCTCAAGAAAAAAATTTCTAACGATGATCACCCATTACTTATAATGCTTAAATTATATTTAATATACCCTGTATTTAATATATTTTTTTAAGAAAACTAATCACATACCCTTAGCTGTTTAAAAACATCTACTGTCTGAATCAGAATATAAAGTCCAAACCTTTGGATTTTGCACTCTTGACTAATCTCATACGATTATATATTTTGGACATGGGTCATTGTGTTTATTGGTTGGAAGGGGGACTAACTCCAGACTAGACTAGCCTCTCTAGACATTCTTGGGGGATTACTTACGGACTCTGTCTGTGACGCAATCGGCTTGTAATACCAATTCCAAGACCATCTTTAATCAGCCAACTAGCAACCCAACCCCTTTGCCTCTAGACTGAAATGTGTGTTGTCATAAAGCGTCTCGCCGTTTTCCGAATGAGTTTTTCCTCCGATTTTCCCCCGATTTTCTTGGCGGCTAGTTTTTTTTTCTTTTATTTTTTTTTGGGCATTTTGCCAAGTTTTGTTCTCATTGCGGCTGGCCCAAAACTACTGTCCGACGTTTTATTATTATTTCTGATGATTTTTTGTTTTTGTTTTTAGTCTTGTTGCTTTTTAGCCGATTTCTTTATTTACGCGCCTCATACTATATCGTGTTGTTTTCTGCGCCGATTTTTCTATAATTTTTTTTCATGTTTGCTTTTTGAGTTGCTGACGACTTGCTGACAGACGCCTTTGGGAAATCCATATGAAGAACTTACATTTCCAGACTTTTCAGTTGTCTTTTTCAGAATAAACTTTAATTAATTATGAAAGGTGGCAGAGAAACAGGGAGTTTATAGAAAGACAACATAGTTTTTTAATTGATTTGGAGAGTGGGTTTTAATGATTAAGTTTTATAATATATTATTTAGATTTCTAGATCTAAGTAGAGGCCTAAAGTACTTTTTAAAACCAAAGAGTTCTTGCAAGAAAGACTCTCTTAAGTAGGCAATAAAAGTTTTCTAACCAATATCCCCTTATTTTTCCTAATTATTATATATTTTCTTTAACCTTAGAACGCAATGATCTATCCTACCCCCCGGTGGTGGGTGCCCTGAACCCCGTGGGTCATGCTGCGGATTTCCTAGCTCCTGGGGATCGTCTCCACCAAATAGATGGCATCTCCACAATCGGCCTAAGTAACCAAAAAGTGATGAACATGCTCTGTGCCGGTGGACCAGATACAGGTCCCGCCATTGTTGAGATCGAATACTCACTTCCGGAATACAGTAAGTATTTTGAAGATCTGGAGGGAAACCTAAAAGAAAAGCATCTATTTCCAATACAGCAGTTTCCCAGAACAGCCTGTGTGTGACCTCAAAGCTGGCCCAGATCACTGTGGAGCGGGAAAGTGGCTGCCTGGGGCTGACATTGAGGGGCGGAGCCGACTACCCGCTGATCGTCACCCATGTCCGGCCCCATGGCCCTGTCTACAAGACCGGTCGGTTGAAGCCCGGCGATCGATTGTTGCGAGTCGATAATGTGAGTGACACTTCCGATTCCGGTGCCTGGGGATTTCTCCAGAATTCCATCATACTTTCAGGTCTCACTGATTGGCAAAACCTTGGCGGAGGCACAACAGATCATCAAGTGCGGCGGCCATGTCTCCGGTTATACCAATCTGACCATCGAATACGATGTCTCGGTGGTCCAGAGTGTAGAGTTCTCAATGGGACCGCTTCTCATCGAGATCGAGCGACCGATGAACGATAAACTGGGCCTGGTACTGTGCAATTATACGCCAGCAGTGCCACCAACAACGGCGACAGTTTCCGGCAGTTCTGCCTCCGGTTCCAGTACACCATCCAGCCAGGAGAAGATCCAGGAGGAGACTTCTGGGGCAGCAGGGGTGTTCATAGCCAGCATTTTGCCAGCCAGTATTGCTGATCGGTAAGATCGGATATTAAGATATATCCTTGATTAATTAACGATTCCATCTATACTTGTTCCAGTTGCGGTGCCTTATCCATTGGCGATCAGGTGCTCTCCATCGACGACACCATGATCGAGCACACCGCCTTCAGTCCGGACGAGGTGATGACCATATTGGACACCGGCACTGGTCGCGGCTATACACAAATGCAGATCATGCCCGCTCACGCTCTGGCCCGTCGTGGTAAGTGGCACCCCATCCTCACCTCACCCCCGTCTTTGATTTTCTTTTTTTGGCTATCGGCTGGCTGGGATCTGTGGCAAGGCCAAGACATCAGTAGCCGAGGCAGCCGAGGCACAACCAGGCTCCCAAGCGGCGCGCCGAAGGTCTGTCGTGGGCGTCACGGCTAATGAACAGAGGCAGCCACGAAAATAAAAAAAAAATTTCAAAAAAAATAAATCCAAATAAAATAAAAAAACAACTGCTGAAACAATAGAAAATTCCAGGCCTTATATAGTTAGGAGAGCGAGGGGCACTTAAGGAGTTTGCAGTATTGTTCTCTCCAAGCTCCACCTCATTAGCTATAAATCTAAAACCTCTAGAACTATTCTATCCCCCCTCGTAGCTCCCAAGCAATTGTGCTTCTTTTTTTTATGGAAGTCCCTCCCTCCATTTGTTGGAAAAACACGCAACGACACACTCGCCGTCCAAAAATGATGCTTCCCGAAGACGAAAATGTCTTGACAATCGATCGAAAAGCCAAAAAACCAAAAATCGAACAAAAAAACCAAACAAAGTGGAAACTGGGGTGTGTGTGTGTGTGTGAGTCCACAGTGTGACGATCGAAGGGCCCATAAATTCTGGACTGGAGGCAGTGGAGGATCAGAGGATAAGTCGTCGGGAAAGGTCTTAAAAGCTTCCATTTATTCCATTTGAGGGGATTCTTCTTTTGGGGGCGGGAGGTGTGAGAAATTGCACTAAGAATTGTGTGGGGGAGGGGGTGGGGGAAGTTGCAATTGGGAGGAGGGGGAGGTGATGCCCCACACTTTCCAACCCAATTCCAGCTGCCACAAAATGGAAAAAAAAGAAACAAAAATTGAAAATTTATTGAAATGTTTGGAAAGATTTATTGAAAAGCTTAAAAATATTCACTTAAAAACTTAATCTTAAAAATACTTCTTAATTATTTAATTAAATATTTAACTATTCTTTTTCCAGGACACACGGCTCTGGGCAGTCCCAAGTATAGCTTCAGCACTCTGGAGTCTCGCAAATCCTCGACAGCCTGCCGGCAACGACAGCGCTTTGCCCGCAAGAGCTCCCTGCCCCTGGAGACACCGGGCACACCAGGAACCCTAATGCCCAGCTCCGCAGGTGGACCTGCTGGCAGCGGCATCTTGGGCATGGGTCTGGGACTGTGCCGGGCGGAGAGCTTTCCCGTTCTACTCGATTGCAGTCAAGGAGCTGGCATAGTTCTAGCTGAAGGTGGATCTGGATCAAGTAGCTCTGGGGGAGCAGGATCTGGCGGTGGTTCTGGCTCCAGCGGAGGAGCTGTAACGATTGCCCAGATCCTTAACGATTCCGTGGCCGATCGGAGTGGCTGCATCCAGGCGGGAGACCGCATTGTGGCGATCAATAAAATGTATAGTTTGGATGCGGCGGCCATGCGGCAAATCCTGGACGGAGGCTCCTCCCGTTCCAATGGCAACACTGCCCCGGCCAACTGGCTGGAGCTGGAGATCGAGTTCGATATGCCGGACGCCGTGGTGCCCTCCAGCGGGGTATTCAGTGTAAAGCTGCTCCGGGCGGGCAAATGCGGCCTGGGACTCAGTGTCAGTGGCTCCAGTCACGGCGGATTGGTCATCTCGGACGTAAAAATGGGCAGTCCCGCCCATCGCAGTGGCTCGCTACGCGTGGGCGACATCCTGCTGGCCGTCGATCAGCATCCTGTCCAGCATTTCAATGTGGATGCCCTGCTCAAGGAGGAGACGGCATCCGGAAGGCAGAACAATCACGGCAACTCGGACTTCACCACGCTGACCATCAAGAGGGTCGTCCTGCCCGACTTCCTGCCCATCTCCAGTCCCATCTACAGTAATTGTCCTGGTCCGGGAGTGGGCCTGGGCCTCGGTCTGGGTCTGGGCTCATCCACGGAGCACGATCTGTACAGCAGTGCCTATGTTACAGCCGGAAAGTATGCCGACTGTGTGTCCCTGAAGTCACGTACCCCGCAACCGGATTATTTCCGGGTACCCAGCTTGGATGATGCCGCCAGTCTGCAGTCCGTGCAGATGCGTCAGGGCACCAACGGCTGGCCAGGGATCGGGGGGACACAGTCCAACAGTAGATCCTTTGTGCCGCAGCCGAATACCCAAAGCCTGACCACCGAGCTGCCCGAGGAGGAGGACGAACAGGAGGAGCAGTTGTATCCAGGATACGAGCTAAATCGTTATGCCAGGTGGGTAGCTGATTGGTTATTCTTTTCTGAAATGTATTAAACCCTGTTTTTTTTCAGTGTGGACTGCACTGCCCTGCCACCGCCCATGGAGAACAAGGTGTACGGATCGGCGGCGAGCTCCAGCAGCAAGAGCAGTGGCAGCAGCTTGCATCAAATCATTTTCACAGTCCGCCTGGAGCCGAAGGGCGGACTCCTGGGCATCACCCTGGCCGGCAGCGAGGACATCACGAAGCCCATTACCATTAGCGGCTTGGTGGAAGGTGAGTTTATAGATTCTTCAGAGAATTCTTTACTAATTCTATGCCTTACAGGTGGCATTGCCTACAAAAACAGCCAGATCCAAGTGGGCGACCAGCTGCTGGCCATCGACGAGCACTCCGTGCAGGGCATGCCCCTGTCGCATGCCACCAGCCTGCTGCAGAACCTCGGCGACCTGGTGGACCTGAAGATCCTGCGCAGCCATGACCTGGCCAATGGCAGCCATCACTTGCCCCAGACCCAGGCCATTTACGCCAAAGTCCAGCGACGGCCGCGCAGTCCATCGGCCAACACGGAGGCCAGCAAGGAGTCGGTGAACGGAAATGGCAGCGCCACCGGAAACGGAAATGGCAACACCAACGGCACTGCCAATGGCAATCCCAATGGAAAGCCACGAATCTTCCATGTGACCTTGTACAAGGACAAAGTGTACGACGATTACGGCTTTTCGGTTTCCGATGGACTTTACGAGCGGGGGGTGTTCATCAACCGGATCCGCAGTGGCGGTCCGGCGGATATGTGCGGCCTGTTGAAGCCCTTCGATCGAATCATGCAGGTGGGTGAATAGTTTGCACCTTTCCCGATCTGTAATTAATCGAAAATTGTGTGTCTTGCAGGTTAATGAGATGAAGACGCAGGACTTTGATTGCTGCCTGACAGTTCCATTGATTGCCGCCGCTGGGGACAAAATCGAAATGATCATGCAGCGCTCCGAGTGACAGCCCTGTGTTAAATTAGTTTTAAATTAAGTTAAGCCTAAGTGCCATTGCTAGCCCATAATCGAGTGTCCTGTGCCTGAAACCCGAAACAAACAAACCAACACCCACAATTCAAGCCCGGATCCCATTGAATCATCCATGAATCCGTCATAACCAAAAATAATAGTCCCCCCTTTAAACTAGATCTGCCATACGCCGTAACTCTACTTTAATTCTATTCTTAATTTGTTTTCTAGCAAATAAATAATCGTACCGAAAGTTTGTTCGAAACTAAAACTAAATTCTTTCAATCGCCAAAAGGAGCTTTGCAGGATTTTCGACCAAAAATTAAAAAAATGACGCTTTTTTTTTCATTTTTGTCCCTTCCGATGGCCATAGCTCTGCCAATTCTTATCCGATTGCAAAATAAAGTACAATTTTGTAATCAGCAAACCCAAAAGCAAATTTCCTTATTCAAAACATTGCTTAAATATCGTTTTGAAATTTTTCGAAATTTTTCGAAATTTTTCCTAGGGGTACCCCTACAAAAATGTGGATTTTCTCAATTTCCCCACTTTTGCTCCTTTCGAACATTTTTCAATTTCCCCACTTTTGCTCCTTTTGATGCACATTTTAGCAAATATTTCAAATAATTCGTAACCAATTCCAAAACGGAATACCATTTATAAATCAGGACTTTAATATCCTTCGAATTCCATCCCAATATTCAAAAAATCAAACAATAAATTTAGGAAATTTGCCATTTAGGAATCAGGGATCCTCTCGCCGTCGATCTGCATCCAAGGATTCCTAAAATCCTCCAAAAAAATTTTTTGCTCGATTTTTGGCAAAAATCCTGGGGGTTTCCCTTGGAAAAGTGCGAATTCGGTTTTTCCTCAGTTGTTGGCGAATATCTTGGCTATTTCGCACCGGATCCTAAAAAAGGATGCCATTTAGGAATCAGGGATCCTTTCGCCGTCGATCTGTATCCAAGGATTCCTAAAATCCTCCAAAAAAAATGTTGGCTCGATTTTTGGCAAAAATCCTGGGGGTTCCCCTTGGAAAAGTGCGAATTCGGTTTTTCCTCAGTTTTTGGCGAATATCTTGGCTATTTCGCACCCGATCGTAAAAAGGGATGCCATTTAGGAATCAGGGATCCTTTCGCCGTCGATCTGCATCCAAGGATTCCTAAAATCCTCCAAAAAAATTTTGGCTCGATTTTTGGCAAAAATCCTGGGGGTTCCCCTTGGAAAAGTGCGAATTCGGGTTTTCCTCAGTTTTTGGCGAATATCTTGGCTATTTCGCACCCGATCGTAAAAAGGGATGTCATTTAGGAATCAGGGATCCTTTCGCCGTCGATCTGCATCCAAGGATTCCTAAAATCCTCAAAAAAAAATTTTGGCTCGATTTTTGGCAAAAATCCTGGGGGTTCCCCTTGGAAAAGTGCGAATTCGGTTTTTCCTCAGTAGTTGGCGAATATCTTGGCTATTTCGCACCGGATCCTAAAAAAGGATGCCATTTAGGAATCAGGGATCCTTTCGCCGTCGATCTGCATCCAAGGATTCCTAAAATCCTCAAAAAAAAATTTTGGCTCGATTTTTGGCAAAAATCCTGGGGGTTCCCCTTGGAAAAGTGCGAATTCGGGTTTTCCTCAGTTTTTGGCGAATATCTTGGCTATTTCGCACCCGATCGTAAAAAGGGATGCCATTTAGGAATCAGGGATCCTTTCGCCGTCGATCTGCATCCAAGGATTCCTAAAATCCTCAAAAAAAAATTTTGGCTCGATTTTTGGCAAAAATCTTGAGGGTTCCCCTTGGAAAAGTGCGAATTCGGTTTTTCCTCAGTTTTTGGCGAATATCTTGGCTATTTCGCACCGGATCGTAAAAAGGGATGCCATTTAGGAATCAGGGATCCTTTCGCCGTCGATCTGCATCCAAGGATTCCTAAAATCCTCCAAAAAAAATTTTGGCTCGATTTTTGGCAAAAATCTTGAGGGTTCCCCTTGGAAAAGTGCGAATTCGGTTTTTCCTCAGTTTTTGGCGAATATCTTGGCTATTTCGCACCCGATCGTAAAAAGGGATGCCATTTAGGAATCAGGGATCCTTTCGCCGTCGATCTGCATCCAAGGATTCCTAAAATCCTCCAAAAAAAATTTTGGCTCGATTTTTGGCAAAAATCCTGGGGTTCCCCTTGGAAAAGTGCGAATTCGGTTTTTCCTCAGTTTTTGGCGAATATCTTGGCTATTTCGCACCGGATCGTAAAAAGGGATGCCATTTAGGAATCAGGGATCCTTTCGCCGTCGATCTGCATCCAAGGATTCCTAAAATCCTCCAAAAAAAATTTTGGCTCGATTTTTGGCAAAAATCTTGAGGGTTCCCCTTGGAAAAGTGCGAATTCGGTTTTTCCTCAGTTTTTGGCGAATATCTTGGCTATTTCGCACCCGATCGTAAAAAGGGATGCCATTTAGGAATCAGGGATCCTTTCGCCGTCGATCTGCATCCAAGGATTCCTAAAATCCTCCAAAAAAAATTTTGGCTCGATTTTTGGCAAAAATCCTGGGGTTCCCCTTGGAAAAGTGCGAATTCGGTTTTTCCTCAGTTTTTGGCGAATATCTTGGCTATTTCGCACCGGATCGTAAAAAGGGATGCCATTTAGGAATCAGGGATCCTTTCGCCGTCGATCTGCATCCAAGGATTCCTAAAATCCTCCAAAAAAAATTTTGGCTCGATTTTTGGCAAAAATCTTGAGGGTTCCCCTTGGAAAAGTGCGAATTCGGTTTTTCCTCAGTTTTTGGCGAATATCTTGGCTATTTCGCACCCGATCGTAAAAAGGGATGCCATTTAGGAATCAGGGATCCTTTCGCCGTCGATCTGCATCCAAGGATTCCTAAAATCCTCCAAAAAAAATTTTGGCTCGATTTTTGGCAAAAATCCTGGGGTTCCCCTTGGAAAAGTGCGAATTTGGTTTTTCCTCAGTTTTTGGCGAATATCTTGGCTATTTCGCACCGGATCGTAAAAAGGGATGCCATTTAGGAATCAGGGATCCTTTCGCCGTCGATCTGCATCCAAGGATTCCTAAAATCCTCCAAAAAAAATTTTGGCTCGATTTTTGGCAAAAATCTTGAGGGTTCCCCTTGGAAAAGTGCGAATTCGGGTTTTCCTCAGTTTTTGGCGAATATCTTGGCTATTTCGCACCCGATCGTAAAAAGGGATGCCATTTAGGAATCAGGGATCCTTTCGCCGTCGATCTGCATCCAAGGATTCCTAAAATCCTCAAAAAAAAATTTTGGCTCGATTTTTGGCAAAAATCTTGAGGGTTCCCCTTGGAAAAGTGCGAATTCGGGTTTTCCTCAGTTTTTGGCGAATATCTTGGCTATTTCGCACCGGATCGTAAAAGGGATGCCATTTAGGAATCAGGGATCCTTTCGCCGTCGATCTGCATCCAAGGATTCCTAAAATCCTCCAAAAAAATTTTGGTTCGATTTTTGGCAAAAATCCTGGGGGTTCCCCTTGGAAAAGTGCGAATTCGGGTTTTTCTCAGTTTTTGGCGAATATCTTGGCTATTTCGCACCGGATCGTAAAAAGGGATGCCATTTAGGAATCAGGGATCCTTTCGCCGTCGATCTGCATCCAAGGATTCCTAAAATCCTCCAAAAAAAATTTTGGTTCGATTTTTGGCAAAAATCCTGGGGGTTCCCCTTGGAAAAGTGCGAATTCGGGTTTTTCTCAGTTTTTGGCGAATATCTTGGCTATTTCGCACCGGATCGTAAAAAGGGATGCCATTTAGGAATCAGGGATCCTTTCGCCGTCGATCTGCATCCAAGGATTCCTAAAATCCTCCAAAAAAAATTTTGGCTCGATTTTTGGCAAAAATCCTGGGGTTCCCCTTGGAAAAGTGCGAATTCGGGTTTTCCTCAGTTTTTGGCGAATATCTTGGCTATTTCGCACCCGATCGTAAAAAGGGATGTCATTTAGGAATCAGGGATCCTTTCGCCGTCGATCTGCATCCAAGGATTCCTAAAATCCCCAAAAAAAAATTTTGGCTCGATTTTTGGCAAAAATCCTGGGGTTCCCCTTGGAAAAGTGCGAATTCGGTTTTTCCTCAGTTTTTGGCGAATATCTTGGCTATTTCGCACCCGATCGTAAAAAGGGATGCCATTTAGGAATCAGGGATCCTTTCGCCGTCGATCTGCATCCAAGGATTCCTAAAATCCTCCAAAAAAAATTTTGGCTCGATTTTTGGCAAAAATCCTGGGGGTTCCCCTTGGAAAAGTGCGAATTCGGGTTTTCCTCAGTTTTTGGCGAATATCTTGGCTATTTCGCACCCGATCGTAAAAAGGGATGTCATTTAGGAATCAGGGATCCTTTCGCCGTCGATCTGCATCCAAGGATTCCTAAAATCCCCAAAAAAAAATTTTGGCTCGATTTTTGGCAAAAATCCTGGGGTTCCCCTTGGAAAAGTGCGAATTCGGGTTTTCCTCAGTTTTTGGCGAATATCTTGGCTATTTCGCACCGGATCGTAAAAAGGGATGCCATTTAGGAATCAGGGATCCTTTCGCCGTCGATCTGCATCCAAGGATTCCTAAAATCCCCAAAAAAAAATTTTGGCTCGATTTTTGGCAAAAATCCTGGTGGTTCCCCTTGGAAAAGTGCGAATTCGGGTTTTCCTCAGTTTTTGGCGAATATCTTGGCTATTTCGCACCCGATCGTAAAAAGGGATGTCATTTAGGAATCAGGGATCCTTTCGCCGTCGATCTGCATCCAAGGATTCCTAAAATCCCCAAAAAAAAATTTTGGCTCGATTTTTGGCAAAAATCCTGGGGTTCCCCTTGGAAAAGTGCGAATTCGGTTTTTCCTCAGTTTTTGTCGAATATCTTGGCTATTTCGCACCCGATCGTAAAAGGGATGCCATTTAGGAATCAGGGATCCTTTCGCCGTCGATCTGCATCCAAGGATTCCTAAAATCCTCCAAAAAAAATTTTGGCTCGATTTTTGGCAAAAATCCTGGGGGTTCCAGGATTTTCCTCAGTTTTTGGCGAATATCTTGGCTATTTCGCACCCGATCGTAAAAAGGGATGCCATTTGGGAATCAGGGATCCTTTCGCCGTCGATCTGCATC